TGTGTGTGTGTGTGTGTGTGTGTGTGTGTGTGTGTGTGTGTATGTGTGTGCTGGTCCTAGGATTTGACCTCAGGTCCTTGGTGCTGTTCCTGAGCTTTGACTAGCTCTCTACCACTTGAGCCACAGCTCCACTTCTGGCTTTTTAAATATTTTTTTTTGTGGTTTAAGGGAATAAGAGTCTCACATTCTTTCCTGCTCGGGCTGACCTCAAACTATGATCTTCCGATCTCAGCCTCCTGAGTAGGATTACAGGGGTGTAAACCCCCAGGACCCAATTTCCTCTTCTTTTTTTAAAAAATCATGTTCTACCTTCCTGCCCTCCTCCTTCATACCCTGGAAAGTCATGGAAAGCCACTGGGCCTGGCCTACGAGCATACACTCCACTCATTTGTCTTGGTTCTCACCTGCATGATATGTGTATCACCAGAAACAGGTCAGACATTCCTAATCAATCAGCTTCCTACTCTCAGGCTTTCAGACTGTCCTCAAGAACTTTGCATCCTGTCAAGCTCCACACACACAGCTCCATCTTGAATGCAGTCTCTGATCCTTAGATCACTGTAATCTACCCTTGTTCTGGCTTGTCTTCTCTCCTCTTCCTTTTCCTTGTCACCCAGCTTGTTCTAGCCACAATGCTGGCTCTTAGGTTACTGAGCACAAAGCTGTCCCTTCCCTTAGAGTTTATGATTCTGCTCCCTTTGGTATTTACATAGCTGACTACTTCCTCCTCCTTTTCTTCCTTCTCCGCCTGCTCCTCTTCCTTCTCTTCTTCCTCCCCTTCCTTCTCTTCCTGCTCCTGCTCCTCTTCCTCCTCTTTTTCTTCTTTTGGTTCTAGGACTTAAACTCAGGGCATCTTGCTGGTGCTCTATCACCTGAACTATGCCTCCAGCCCTACTTTTTGATGATTCATTGGAGATAGAGTCTTATAGACATTTCTGCCCAAGGTTGGCTTTGAACTATAATCCTCCAGATCTCAGCCTCCTGCGTAGCTAGGAATGGAGTTCCCAACTCTACTTACCATTTTCGTTTCTATGTAGACAGCCTTTTGGAGAATCTTTCCTGGCTCTTCTTCCCAAAGTAGACCCCCACCCCACCCCCATTCCTTTTCTGTTATATCAAATCTTCTTCATGAGACCCATTGCTGCCTTTTTTTTTTTTTTGTGACAGGAACTAGGGTTTGAACTCAAGGCCTTACCTTGCTAGGCAGGTGCTATATCATTCCAACCACGCTTTATTTTATTGCCTTATTTTATTTTTCAGATACGATCCTGTGCTCTTGCCCAGGGCCAACCTTAGACTTTGATCCTCCTCCCTCCCCATGCCTCTTGAACACGCTGGGATCACTGGTGTGCTCCGCTGTGCCTGACCCTTTTCCGTTCTTGCTTTACCTTCTGCTCTTCCTAAGATCTCAGCTTTCCAAGAGGAGGGCTTTTTCTCTGTCTTGTTTATCCAGAGCCAATGGGTTGAGTTCATTCGGTGCTTAGATTGAACACACGATGAGATTGAACACAGATGTTGGCGCTGCTTACTGAGGGGAGGATTTGAGGTGGTGGCCCAGAGTTTGACGAGCTTTGCCATGGAATATGAGGATAGATTGAGGGTAGACACTCCATGAGCCTGCTGAGCAGCCCTAAGGTCCTAAGATTAGAGTCTGTGAAGTTAGAGGTCCATGCTGATTATCGCAGTTTAACCCAAGTCTCTGAGTGACCTGTGAGTAGGGATGGAGAATTGGTGACGGATGAGGATTAGTAGAATCAGTGAAGCTGATAATTATGGTAATGAGGGAGCTAAGGATTCTGGGAATCCTCTAGTAATGAGAGAGCTGGGGATTTTGGGAAGATTATGGTAATGAGGGAAGCTAGGGATTCTGGGAAGAGAGTTGTCCACTGAAGACCTAAGAGCCCAGCATTCAGACAAACGAAAATGCTGTGTAGCCTGAGTTGGGACACACATCCAGCAGGAAGAAGGTAAGCATTTGGAAGGGTAAGGAACCCTAATTGGCAAAGCAAAGTATGTACAATGAAGGCAGTGTTTAGATTCCAGAGATAGAGCTGCTGTCCAGAGAGAAGGAAGAAAAGGAGCTCAGGAAAGGAGTTGATTCCACTGAAGAGTTTTAAAATTTTAAGTCTGGTACAGTGGCATACTTCTATAGTCCCAGCTACCTGGAAGGCTGAGGTAGGGAGAATTGCTTGGGCTGAGACATTTAAGGCCAGCCAGGCAATATCATCAGACCCTGAGTCAAGGCATAATTCATAGAGAACCCTGTCCACCTGTGCAAACTATACAGATCCAGTGGTCTGAAATTGGCCACAGAGTCCTATATCCATCAAAACATTTTCACCACCCAAGAAAGAAACTCCCATAACCATGAGCATAGTCCCTCTTCTCCTTCCTTAGTTATATTTTCGTAAGACTGCATCCACATGGTTCATAATTAAACTTACACTGAAAGCATAAACATGGAGAACCCTTGTTCCTACCCCAAGTTCACCTAATTCTGTGCGTCCCTCATGCTGCACAGATGAAGGTTGGTTTAGTTTGCCTCCTGTTCTAATTGAACATCCTTATTCCAATCCTCATTAACTCATGCGTTAGCATTCCAAGCACTGGTTTTCTTTTAGCCATTTAACAAGAGAGGCCAGATAGTTTCTGGTGACAGAATGGAAAGTTTCACAGGGTTTTCTAGAAAGAATTGGGGGTTGGGGGTTGTGTGAGAGTAGGGGGAAGGGACCACAGGGGAAGAGTAAAGGAATAAGAGAGAGAATAGATCATGGGTTTCCATGGTAACTGTTAAAATAATTGAGCGATCTCTTGCAGACCGAGGGAGTAGCATTGTAAGAACCATAGCTACAATGTCACAGCTACAATGTGGCTGGGAAGGAAGGCAGAATCCACAAACACCTCAACTCTAGTTGAGCCCAGCCCCAGTTTTCATGAATGCGGTTTTACATTTGAATGCTTGCTTGGCTTTGAGCGATTTTGTTCAGTTGAGTTTGTGGGAGAGATCAGCCACTGTAAGCAAGAAGAGCGCAGACAGCATGGTTTTCTCTCTGCCCTCTGGAAGATGAAGGAGCCCAGTTGCCCCCCCCTTCTCCCTGCCCCCCACCACCCCCCGCCCCAGGTCTGTATTGGACCTGGCCCAGAAAAGCTCCCTCTTAACCATTGAAGTCTGCTACAGAGCACCCAGGTAGGGAAGGACCTGTGAACATGAATCAAAGGGAAAAAGCAAGGGTGAACACCACCGAATTCCAAATGTGTTAGCCCTGTTTCCTGAGCTTACAAAAGACAAACCATTTGCCCAGACAACTGTCCCTGTCAGGTAAGAGTGTTTGCCTGTTTGCCTGGACAAGTCATCTTATCTGAGCATGTCACACATATATCATTGTGCCCAGATTTTTTCCCCCCTCTTGGGTGAGATGAGATCTCAAGAACATTTTGTACAGGTCAACCTCAAACCACAATCCTCCAGATCTCAACCTCCCAAGTAGCTAGGATTATAGGGGCAGGTGGGGGGGGGTAGCCACCACACCCAACCTTACTTATTACTTCCTGTGACTGCTTGCAGTTTTATCTTCAACCCTCTAGCTTTGATTCTTTGAACCTTGAACTTCTGCTTTGCCAAACGCCCCACCTGTTCAAGAATTTCAGCTCTGTTGATGGTTGAGTATCTGCTGGAGCTGAATGATGCTGTAGTTGTGCATTGTTCAGTACACACACACACACACACACACACACACACACACAGAGCGCCCTTTCCACTTTATACCTGATGTGTCCCACACCACTGAATTTTATCCAGGCAGCATTCCGTTCATGCTGGTACTGCTTGTGTTCTGAGACTGCATGTGTGTCCCTGGCAATGTTTTATGGGAGCCAAACCCCTTTAAAAGGTTCCCTTGGAAGTTTAGACGAAAGCTTTCTTGTTCTTTCACATTCCTGGCTCTTGCCTATGGAAGGTACTGTTCTGGTGAGTGGACA